TTCTGTACCATTTCTAGGGTACACGTTAACAAATGATGGACTTCAAATGGATCAGAGCAAAGTGGAACCCATATTGAATTTCCCTACCCCTAAAAACAGAACTCAACTTAAAGCTTTCCTTGGTAGTATAAATTATTACACCAAGTTCATAGATAAATTTTCCGCAACCACACAACCCTTGATGCGACTAACTTCAAAGAAAAACAAATTTGTTTGGACCAAAGAAGATGACGTCACCTTTATGAAGATTAAAGAACTATTTCTAAAAACAAAAACTAATACCTTAACACATCCTGACCCATCTAAAGAGTTCTTCTTACAGACTGATGCTTCCGACTATGCAATAGGTGGACATTTATATCAGTTACGAGAAAATGGATAGAAAGCTGCCATCATGTTTATATTAAGAACACTTCAACCATTCGAACAGAGGTACACTACGACTGAAAAAGAACTCCTTGCCATAATTTATTGTCTACAGAAGTCTCGATATATCATCCTTGGAACAAAATTAACTATTATCACAGACAACCACGCACTTACTTTCTTAAAATCTTGCCGCCTATTAAATAACCGATTAGCCAGATGGATACTCACTATACAAGAATATAACTTCAAAATTGTTCATTGCAAAGGTATAGATAACATTACTGCTGACACACTAAGTCGCCTTTCAATCGACCAATCCACTATCTCATATAACAATCCAAAGGAATTAACGATTCACTACATTGAAAACATCCCCGATCAACAACTGAAGAGTGCATTACGAAATCTACCACAACTGCAGAGAGAAGATGCTAAACTACAACCTATAATTGAAATACTTGAAGAACAGCCAAATTCAGATTTTGCACAAAAATTATCCAATAATTTCCACATCTATAAAAATACTCTTTATCAAAAGTTAAGAGACAAATGGTTGATTGTTGTTCCTAATTGCATGATTAAAGATCTCATATGGGAATGTCATCTGTTTTACCTACACTGCGGAGCCAAAAAATGCTTTCAGTTATTGCAAGAAACTTTCATATTTCGTAACATGAATCGAACTATAAGGAAATACCTATCTACATGCGATATTTGTCAGAAATGTAAGATCAGTAACCAACCATTGATGGCTACAGCGAAAGGAGTGCTATGTACAGGAAAGAATGAACAACTTGCCGTTGATATTCATCGGACCTCTTCCTACCAGTGTGTCAAACGTTAAATATATTCTTATAGTCATCGATATATTCACAAAATTTGTAAAATTATATCCCATGCAAAAAGCTAATACTAAGACAATATTAAACAAGTTATTTACATTGCACTTCCCAAATTATGGATATCCAAAAAGAATCCAGTCAGATAATGGAACCCAATTTAAGAGCGGAGAATATATTCATAAGATGGAACAAAATAATATTGAATTAATCTTTAATCCAGTGTACCATCCATGTTATAATCTTGCCGAAAGACCGATTCAAGAAATAAAGCGATGTTTGCGCACATATTGCTCCAATCAACACAAGAAGTGGGCAAAATATATCCCTGATATTAATGCAGGTCTCAATGAGCTTTACCATGAATCAACCGGATTCACACCTAATGAACTACAATTTGGTGTTGGAGATCGCCGATTTTGGGAGAAATATTTATCTGAAAATCCATTCAACACCGAAACCCCTATAGAACAAAAACTTCTGATTGCTAAGCGCAGGTTGGATACCAAAAGACTCAAGAGATCAGCAAAATTAAATCAAAATCGAAAACCTCAAACATTAAAAATAAATGACAAAGTATTAATAAAAACACATCCCCTCTCCAGAGCCATCTATGGAGAAACAGCAAAACTTTTCGAAGTTTATGAAGGACCGTTCTTTATCAAGCAAATATTAGGAAAATCCACGTATCATGTAACAAGAGAGAATGAAGATATTTTACTCGGACCATATCACATATCTGCTTTAAAACGATACATAGAACCAATTATAGAAGAGGAGATGGCAAATGGTGAAGAAGATCTCAGCGGCATAAACTCTCAAAATATTGTGGAAATAAAATCCTCTATTCAATCCATGATCATCGAGTGTCACAAATTATATTAGAGGAGATCGTCATGAACCTTAATCGCGAGTGCGTGTACCCTTTCCCCATTTCCCAAGTGAAAATTGTGAGAACATATCCTTAACATTGCTTCCACTATTCCCCTGTGTCAGGTCATGAACTATCTTAACCCTCAATAATTCCCCCATTTATGTTTTGTTCCTGTGTTTATGTAAATTTATATTAAGAAGTTTCTAATCATCATCATCCAAAAATATCAATCATTTAATGTGACCCATAACTAGCTTTAAATATAATTCATACTAAATGATTCATGAATTCCATTTCATATTCGTTCGAAATTTGTCTTTCATTCCATATCATACAAATTTCTGAGGAGATAAATTGTAATATTTCATTTCATTTCAGTCATTATTTAGTATTAAGTTTTTTTTTTTATGTTAACTTCTATTCCTACACCACTCCTCAGAAAGACTGTCCTAATATTCATTTTCCTAATTTATATAATTTCATTAATATGTTCAATTAATCATTAATAATATTCATTCCATAGCCTATATTTTTTTTACAACACCCACAACCTAATTATTTATTAAATATGTAAGAGAATTGCAATACATCAAAATTTCTTATAATATCATTTCAAAATTAGTCCTTAAGGAATCCAAATTTAAGTAGCAGTGAAAGTGATCCCATGTGTTCAACAATGAGTGATGTGAACATTGAGATGGAAAGAGAAGGAAGCCATTGAGAAGTTGAAATTGTTAGAAGAAGGAGTCAAAATTTTACCTAAGTTAAATCAAATTCATTTATCAAGAAGACCAGTTTCAAGTTATATCACATAGTAGCCTAAACCTCAAGAGGACTCAACTCAATCATCATCTTCAAAATTAAGTATAAACTTTTCTTTAAACTCTTTTAAATTTTGTGCTAATTGGACTTACCTTTTGGACAACACTAAAATTAGATTTTTCATTGTTGGGATTGTGTAAGTTTAACACCTTAATTAGGCCTATTTGGACACTATTAAATTTAAATTCTTAGGATTCAAGCCAGCACGACACCCTACCCTGAGACATATCACACCTAAATTATTTGAACCTTCAAGTTATTATTCAAATTTATCTTTTATTTCAATTTAATTTCAACCCCATACACCATTGTCAACCCTTTCATTGTAACGTCAAACCTTTTCTCATTGCATGTTAATTGTTCATTTGTTTAAATAAAACACCTTTTGTAATCCATATCTTTGTTAACTTATTAACTTTAAACATTTATAGAATAGGCCTAGCCTAAATGAATATTGTAAGGTGAGTTTACAGTTCTTGCAAGGACTAAACAGATATATTCCTAATAATTGAACTTGGAACTTGGTATTCATCTTAAACCATAGCACAGCCTAGGAATCTATATCTATAAAAGAGGAACTATGTATGTATATATATATGTGTGTATATACGTTATGAACTCCAAAACCGCTCGACAGATTGTAATGAAACTTTCAGGCATTATTAAGCATCTTTCAAGGATGGTTCGAGTGAAGTTTGGTGCAGATCCGTCAAAAGGGCTCTGCCCCAGAGGGTTTTAAGTGGACCAATGTCAGACTTTTTGATCTACAATGTTTACAAATAAATATAATTTAAAAGCAGATGTTTACTTTCACCAACTGTTTTGTAGGTTTGAATAATCACAACATTCTGTATTAGCATTAGTCATGATTTGAAATAGTGCCACAGTGTTTCTGCAGATTGCAGCACAGAAAACTATTTTACTTTTTAATAAGTCCAAAGTATTAAACCCCAATCGCAGCACACCTGTGCACTCAACGTTTAAATTCTCCAATGTTAAATATTAAAACATAAAAACCTTTATCAAAGTATTATAAACAATAAAAGAGATGATTTTTTTTAAAATTTATGACGACAGCTAATTTGCAACCAAAAGGTGAGTGAGCGTAGCGAACGAACATCGACCTGGAGGCGAGTAAGCGTAGCGAACGAGCTAACCTGAAAACAAGTGAGCGCAGCGAACGATTTCCAACCTGAAGGTGAGTGAGCGTAGCGAACGAACTTCAACCAGGACGTGATTGAGCCATGCGAATACTTATGAAGTTAAGCGGGGCAAAGCCCGCGGGTACAGCTAGTAGTCCTATACAAGAGCTGTTTTTTCAATGTAAGTTTCATGTTATATGGAGATTTTTTCGTCACAATTATCATGTAGTCTAGGCATATCTTAAATCTCATCAGGTAATTTCCTCTTTGTTAATTTAGTAAACCTTTGAAAAATCTTTGTAATCTAACCAAGGAAGGGCTTGTGATGATGAACCACAATTAACAGCTGAAGCAAAGGTTGATAGACCAGCTTTCTCATTATTTTAAGGTGTTTCCATTAAAACCCAAGTTGAAACACTATCGATATAATAAAGAAACTAAATTTATTACTAATTTCCCTGTCAATCACTTGCAAGCATTCAATAGCTTCTCTTGTCACCGTCTTGTTGGTCGTCTGCATCTAGCGATTTTATTTTATCTGACAGTAATCATAGAGTAGTAAATTAAGGAAATGAGAGCCAAAAATGTGTATAACACTCATTTAATGGCCTCCATGTCCACACAACGTTGTAATAGGGAATGAAACGGCTGCAACCAGCTGTTTGAAGCCAAGAAAGTAGGCCTAATTTTTTTGAAAATCTCAGTTTGAAAGAGGTTGTTTCACGTAAGGTTGAGGTTATGATAAAAATCACTATCTCAAACAATGTTAATGTAACGAGAAAAGTAGCTAAAATTCCGCTACAACTACTTTAAAAAAGCTAAAGCTACAAAATCTTAAAAGTAGCGTAGCTTCAGCTAACGCTACAAAAAAAGTAGCACGCTACTTCCCAACACTGCTCACACCAATGTGTTAGTACAGTGTTGTGTAGCCTAAAACCCCATATAACAACTGACCTGGCAAGATATGTTGATATGTGGGCCAAGAAAAGTCCACATTCAGGCAAGCCTATCAGCTGACAGGCCTGCATGGCAGACATGGCCATGGTGAGAGCATGAGGATCCTCCATACCTGCAAACATAATGTTAACTGATAACTTCATTACAACAAATTATAAAAGCTAACAAGGATCACTAAGGAACAAGGATTCTTAATCACTCTTATTTATTGTTATTTATTGCTACTATGATTTATTGTTGTTGTTATTTAATAATTAATATTTATTATTCTTAGTCTATGAACGATTCACTTTATTCAATTTTATGAACTCATAGCATGTTCTCAATTTTTGTACAAACTAGGATAGTGCTGCAATGTAAATGGGATTTGTATTCTGTTTTGTAGCATGCAAAATAAAATAAAATAAAATAAAAATAAATCACAAACTTTTGAGAAAACCTTAAGTCGCACACCTATCAACTGTATACTTGAATGAAAGGTCTTAATGAGAAACTTCCCCAAAACATATCAGTTTTTCGATAAACCCTCTCCTAAGGGCACACACCTTAATATTAAAGGGTTGTTTTGATCACATTTTAAATATTGAATACAAGTCAGCTGTCATATTTTATTTATATTTGGTTGTTTACTTTTCCCCTTGGTTAACCTTTTGATTCTTATAGATTGTCTACGTTTACATTATGAAAAATTAATTAGTTTTGATTTTGCCAAACAGCTTACCGGTATAGATAAACATAATAGATGGTTTAAATAAGTAATATTGAGCATTCCTCTATGATTGCTTGCTAATGTAACTGTTTCGTTATAGTATAGTAGATTTTAAAAAATCGCATTATTCTCTTCTGTATTCTCACCCCGTGCGTAGCAAAGCCGGCCAGAGCAACTTGTATTCATAAAGTTAAAAATCATTATCAAGAATATCAATAAATACATTATACCTCCTCTTGGACGATAAAGTTGATAACAGTGAGAAAGTTTCTAGGAAAAAACATATGATTAAATATCATTTAAATGTTAAACTGTAACATAAGGTCAAAAATGCAGAATTTTATCGCAATCGCGCAAGACAGTGATAATGTACACACGATCGTGGGAAAAGATAAGAATTTAGCTTCATTCGCGGTAGACGCCCAACGATGACAATCTCCTCACGACCACGGGATATGTTCATATATTGCCGCGATCATGGAAGAGGATAATTATGTCTACACGACCGCGGAAAAGTCAGAATTTTGCCGCAATCGCGGGGGACAATTACGATGTCTATACGGCCAAGAGGCTTAAAAAGCTTAAAAATAAGAATAAAAAAAGCTTAAAAATAAGAAGTTTAAAAATGGTGGTTGGATTTCATGAAAATACAACCACATTTTTTTATTTTGCAATTTTTCGGTGAAAAAGCCAATTGCCTCGTGCCCTAAGCATGTGCCTACCGTGCCTATTCGGTAAATCGGCCCTGTACTAATGCTCTTGATAAAATCATAATGCGAACAGTAAATATTGCTTTGCTTATTCTTTTTTGGCACAAACCATATAAAGTAGAAAGAAAAAGAAATTTTGACTGATCTGATCAAAAATAGCTAAACAATCAGTTGTCCACTTGTACTGTCTTTAAATAGACCATATTAATTTTAATATGTATCAGGTGACTTATTTGTTTGTTTTTGTTATGAGTTTTTGGAATTGGTATTAAAACAGGGTTTATGTAATGTTGGTTTTATTTTATCTTTAAATAGTTTACAATGGCGACGAGGAGGAGGTATTTTATCTTTAAATAGTTTACACCACTACATCACCACATTTTGACTGACCTGATCATAATAGCCAAGCAAGCAGTTGTCCACTACATCACCACATTTTGACTGATCTGATCATAAATAGCTAAGCAAGCAGTTGTCCACAACATCACCACATTTTGACTGATCTGATCATAATAGCCAAGCAAGCAGTTGTCCACCACATCACCACATTTTGACTGATTTGATCAAAAAATAGCTAAGCAAGCAGTTGTCTACTACATCACCACATTTTGATTGATCTGATCACAAATAGCTAAGCAAGCAGTTGTCCACTACATCACCACATTTTGACTGATCTGATCATAAATAGCTAAGCAAGCAGTTGTCCACTACATCACCACATTTTGACTGATCTGATCATAAATAGCTAAGCAAGCAGTTGTCCACTACATCACCACATTTTGACTGATCTGATCATAAGTAGCTAAGCAAGCAGTTGTCCACTACATCACCACATTTTGACTGATCTGATAATAAATAGCTAAGCAAGCAGTTGTCCACTACATCACCACATTTTGACTGATCTGATCATAAATAGCTAAGCAAGCAGTTGTCCACTACATCAGCACATTTTGACTGATCTGATCATAAATAGCCAAGCAAGCAGTTGTCCACTACATCACAACATTTTGACTGATCTGATCATAAATAGCTAAGCAAGCAGTTGTCCACCACATCACCACATTTTGACTGATCTGATCATAAATAGCCAAGCAAGCAGTTGTCCACTACATCACCACATTTTGACTGATCTGATCATAAATAGCTAAGCAAGCAGTTGTCCACTACATCACCACATTTTGACTGATCTGATCATAAATAGCTAAGCAAGCAGTTGTCCACAACCATCACCACATTTTGACTGATCTGATCATAATAGCCAAGCAAGCAGTTGTCCACTACATCGCCACATTTTGACTGATCTGATCATAAATAGCTAAGCAAGCAGTTGTCCACAACATCACCACATTTTGACTGATCTGATCATAATTAGCCAAGCAAGCAGTTGTCCACTACATCACAACATTTTGACTGATCTGATCATAAATAGCTAAGCAAGCAGTTGTCCACTACATCACCACATTTTGACTGATCTGATTATAAATAGCTAAGCAAGCAGTTGTCCACTATATCACCACATTTTGACTGATCTGATCATAAATAGCTAAGCAAGCAGTTGTCCACAACATCACCACATTTTGACTGATCTGGTCATAAATAGCTAAGCAAGCAGTTGTCCACTACATCACAACATTTTGACTGATCTGATAATAAATAGCTAAGCAAGCAGTTGTCCACTACATCACCACATTTTGATTGATCTGATCACAAATAGCTAAGCAAGCAGTTGTCCACTACATCACCACATTTTGACTGATCTGATCATAAATAGCTAAGCAAGCAGTTGTCCACTACATCACCACATTTTGACTGATCTGATTATAAATAGCTAAGCAAGCAGTTGTCCACTACATCACCACATTTTGACTGATCTGATCATAAATAGCTAAGCAAGCAGTTGTCCACTACATCACAACATTTTGACTGATCTGATAATAAATAGCTAAGCAAGCAGTTGTCCACTACATCACCACATTTTGATTGATCTGATCATAAATAGCTAAGCAAGCAGTTGTCCACTACATCACCACATTTTGACTGATCTGATCATAAATAGCCAAGCAAGCAGTTGTCCACTACATCACCACATTTTGACTGATCTGATCATAAATACCTAAGCAAGCAGTTGTCCACTACATCACCACATTTTGACTGATCTGATCATAAATAGCCAAGCAAGCAGTTGTCCACTACATCACCACATTGTGACTGATCTGATCATAAATAGCTAAGCAAGCAGTTGTCCACTACATCACCACATTTTGACTGATCTGATCATAAATAGCTAAGCAAGCAGTTGTCCACAACCATCACCACATTTTGACTGATCTGATCATAATAGCCAAGCAAGCAGTTGTCCACTACATCACCACATTTTGACTGATCTGATCATAAATAGCTAAGCAAGCAGTTGTCCACAACATCACCACATTTTGACTGATCTGATCATAAATAGCCAAGCAAGCAGTTGTCCACTACATCACAACATTTTGACTGATCTGATCATAAATAGCTAAGCAAGCAGTTGTCCACTACATCTATAGACATATATAGAAGATAGATGTTTTTGATCAAATAAAATTATTATCTTATCCTACCACAGTTGTGGGTATGACAACTCGTTTAGTTCCTTAGAACTATTTCAGGTCATTTATAATGCAACCACATCATCAATTTATTATTATGTTGTGGTATGTCAAAAGATTGCCACAATCACAATAATTTAAACTTGTCATGTTTCAAAAATTCTGTACAAATTAATAAAACTGATTAAAACTGTACAGGCTGGCCAGCACTGTCTTATTACTGCCACTGACTAAGGCCCGATTTCACTAAACACTTAAACCGCCGTTAAGCCTTGCGCCTACTGCAGATAGATCGTAACTGACGAAATCGGATTACACCACTCGCCGTTAGAGCTAGTTTATACAGAAAATATACTAAGATAAAAACTAAATAGATGAAATTAGATCATTTACATAGACTTCATTACATACCAATATCCTCACTAGCACAAACTACGAGTCTCCGAGCTATGAAGATGGGGTCTTCCCCTCCTTCCAACATACGAGCAAGCCAATAAAGGGATGCATTCTCATCTGAGGCTCGAATCGATTTATGTAATGCTGAAATTATGTTGTAGTGTTCCTCTCCTTTTTTGTCATACAACAAGTGAGATCTCTGCAACAATTGTTTTGTAATCAATTTATTAACCTATATAGGCCTACTTTACAAAGAGCAAAAATTTTTGTGAATTTAGAATGAACATTGTAACAGGTCAAATTTTGACGTGGGATAATATTTTGCGGTCATCCCAAATAGGCCTACCTTGATTTATTTAACGAAAAGGCAGCAACAAACACTGGACATATTAATAGTGACGTATTTTTATTATTATTTTCAAAACATAATAATTGTTACACAAAGTTTAACAAACAGATGGATTATTGGATTATTCTCCACATAGGCATTGCCTGTGTGTGGGGAATGAGCTTCACCAGCAGTCAAACATCTTATTTGATAGGAAAATTAATTAATAACTAAAATTATAAATTTACATACTTGGAAAAAGGAGAAGGATTGCACATTGAGCTAATACAAATAACAATCTTAAAACTGTAGGAACCACAAGAGGAAATAAGGGCGAAACAAAACTACGCACACGTAAATGTCGCTCAAACTGAGACTTGGAACCACACAAATACACACACAACACACTTCAGCTCAGTTGCACCAGGACATCAGGCGGCTGCTGGCCCTACAGTTCCATTAGTTAGTTCATAGTTCATATGGAGGGGATGATCGTAGTTCTCAACCCCGACGCCAAGGGCGGTAGGCGAGAACTGCACAAGAAGCGCCCCGAGGCAGTCAGTCGTTCTTCAGCCGTCGACCAAACGTTCACTCCCCACGGAACAATAACTGGCAGTCGTCCTTCAACTCAACCACAAAATGTTCGCTACACGACTCACTACAAACCAATATCTGGCGATAGCCGATATTAAAATGACGCGAGACGATACGAACACTGGTAATTGTGGAGCCACACGATAATGCTCTATTTATTTACCAGTACCGTTTAGTATAATTATTTGAAGTTATATTTCGTCGATTACGCATGTTCAAGGTAGGATTCTACGTGCACGAGTAAGTGTAGATTCTGTCTTACACGAGGCTTTGGTGGTTACCATACCAAGCATTATAACCGTTTTATTATTTCGATTTGTGTTATACACACATGTTATATCGACCGATTATAATTAGTTACAAACGACTCTGGTGGTTGACCGAGGGGTGGTTGATTAGGACACGTTTTACTTTGGTTTAAACCAAGTACCGACTCATGTTTTATTAAACCTTGTTAAATTATTCCGTTATATTCTTATTCGCACGGTATTTTCATTCTTAATTCGATCTCAACGCAAATTTCGAGTGGCTGTGATGATCACTTGTCAAAGGTAAGATAATATAGTTATTGGCATTGTTGTAATTATATTCCGAGTCTGAGCCAATAAACTCAAAACGGCAATTAATTAATGTACATGTTAGAATCCTGGACTATCAAATTGTAGGCTAGGCTATCTGGACAAATTTTAAGGTGTGACCTAATTTCAGGTGAGACGACTTATTACGTATTGTTCCACTAAACCCCGATATTAAAACCTAATTTTGTCTCTCTACCCGAAATTCTCATAACGTAAGTATATTATGTACCTTGATGCCTTCCTGAATGTTTTCTAGGGTGATTCTTGTTGGCTCGTTGGTCTGAGTGCCAGTTTTGACAGCCATCTGAAGACTGTTGAGAGCTATTCTCGCATCTCCATCACACATGCCAGCCAGCCACTCAAGTGACTCGAGATCAATACACCTGAAAGAAACAACATCAATTAAAAATAACACTGCTCCAGCAATCCTGCAAACTAAGCAAATTTCTGTTTGAGTGAATCAATTAAATTATTTACAGTAAAATATTTCCTTGATAATGTCAGATTTTTGTTACCTTTTCTTTTAGCCAATTTCCCATAGGGAATAACCTATTACCGTAGTACTCATGGTAAGACCTGGACCCCGGACCGATTCAAGGTTATTAAAAGAAAAAGAGGTTGCCTCAGTCGCGCATATGACGTCACCTGCCGACCCGGACCGTTCTGCTTATAATTCACAAAGCTGCCACCTGTCAAATTCTTTGTTATTGTTGTTTGTTTTTCATTTATTTATTTGTAAACAGAACCACCATTCTTACTAGACAAATACGTAATTTCTGAGTGTCCACTTCAAACGTTTTTGTGCTTGTTTAGTGTGATTAAGTAGGTAACCTTATTCTTTCTTGTTTAATTTATTCTGCGTTATATTTTTTATTGTTTAAGTTTATATTTTCATTCTGGTTTTATATTTTTTTTGGGTTTTATATAATTTGGTTGTTACATTTTATCTTTATCAAACTAGTTTGTTTGAAATGCCTGGTGAGCGATGTGCTGTAGCGGTATGTAACAATAGTCGGGTAAAAACCCGTGATTTACATAATGATAGGCCTAAAATTGTTTATCATCGTTTTCCTAAGGAAGAAAAACTATGCAAGCAATGGGTCCACTGTTGTAAACGCGTAGATCCATTAAATCCTCGTACTTCAGTAGTTTGTTCTAAACATTTTACTGACAACGATTACGAACGAGATTTAAAAGCGGAACTCTTAAATCTGACACCAAAGAGGAATCATAAGCCCAGCGCATGTCCATCAATTAAACTTTGTATAAAATTTCAACATCAAGATTAACAAGAAGAATCCCTAGTCAAAATATCAAGCATAGATGAAAGTTGTACTGAAAATGACAGTATAGGCTAATAAGTATGATCACGAATCAAGACATCTTATCCAGTGAAGTAACTCGTCTCAGAGATGAGATTAAACTTTTAAAACAAAAAATTGAATTTTTAACGTTCTGGCAATCTACTAAAGAACGTAACACCCATATGTAGTATTTGTTGATATAATTTATGCATTTCCAATTTTAAATAATTATTTTTGTATTGCTTTAATAAAATGTTTGCTTTTAATAAAATGTTAATGTAAAGTTTTTTTCTGAAAACCAGTCGAAAAGTAGTTATAGGCTACATTAAAAAGAGAGCTGTTTCTCATCCAAATGCAAAAATAATATGCGGAGTAGTAATAGAGTGAAGGAGAATGCGGCGATCAGATCAGCAGATAACGTCACACTCCCGCCCGCTAGCTTACTTTTACATGCTTTTACTTAATCGTTTACGGAACTTACACAAAAACAAACAACAATAACAAAGAATTTGACAGGTGGCAGCTTTGTGAATTAAAAGCAGCACCGTCCGGGTCGGCGGCTGACGTCATACGCGCGACTGAGGCAACCTCTTTTTCTTTTAAAAACCTTGGGACCGATTTACTTTTTTGTTTTGAGGTCTCTAGAAGTTAAAAACACTGTCCGTTCAAATTTATATATGTGATGTGGAAAGTAAATAGGGACCTCTAGTCGGGAATTTTGTAGTTTGTTATATATATATATATATATATATATATATATATTGTTGTATTAAGTCTGTTCTTTTTATCATATGATTTATTTGTGTTTAAATATGTTTTGTTGTCAGATGATTTTTGTAAACATGTTTTTGTAAACATTGGTTTAGTTTGGAAATAGAGTTTGTTGAAGCAATATGAAGCAGTTTGTGTGAATAATATTCTTGTATAAGAAATAGAACGTGGTGGCAGCATAGTGGATTTTTTTATCGAACAAAGTCTAAAACCACGCAAAATGTCAATTAAGGGCAGAAAAAAACGAAATACTCGTAAGCAAAGGTATGAGGACATTGAGGAGAACTATGCCCAAAGTGAATTCAACTACATGTCAGAAAGGGATTCTAGAAAGATTGAAGGTGAGTCACTAGGTTTTGCATTGGGACAGACAAACCGAGAAAATAATGCAGTAATGTGTACTCCTACTCCGATGATAAATCTGACGTTACCAACTCCAGAAACCTTCTCTTTTACTCCGAATGAGTGGCATTCCTGGAGGAATCGCTTTCAAAGGTACAGACGGGGGTGCGGTCTGGATATCACTTCCGACGCTCGGCAAATCGATGTACTTTTGTTTACAATGGGTAGTAGGAGTGAAGATATTTTCGATTCGTTTTCACCAAAACCGAATACTTATGACGAGGCTCTTCGGGCCTTTGATGAATACTTTGTGCCAAGACGAAATATAATTTATGAGAGAACAAAATTTCTGAGACACAAGCAAGGGAGTGATCCATCTGAAAAATTCATAACAGATTTGCATTGTCTTGCAAAAACGTGTGCATGGGGTGAACTGAACGATGAGATGGTGCTTCTGGTCCTCATTATTGGTATGAAAGATGAGGCTTTAAGTGATAGACTCCAGCTGGACTCTCAATTGACTTTGGAGAAAGCAATTAATACCTTGCGCCAACACGAGGAGCTAGAACGCCAAAAACGTGAACTCGCCAATACTAATGTTTTTATGGTGAATAAAACGTCAGTACAAGTCGGTAAAACCAATCTGTCTGAAGGAGCTGGTGAACAGAAATTCACCGAGGATGCTATGAGAAAAAAGTGCAGGAAATGTGGTTATAACTGGCACGGATCACTGGCTGAATGCCCTGCTAGGAAAGCCAAATAAGACAAATGTTCCAAGATTGGGCATTTTTTTCGATGCTGTCCCTCCCGCAAAAAGTGGATGAGAAAAAACAAAATCGTTGTTAAGGAAATCGAACAGCAAGATTCAGACAGTGGTTATCAACAGGTTCCTGAGATTTTCATAGGGAATATAGACAACAGTGACAAAGCCTGGGTCCAGGAGGTAAAAGTAAGCTTTGGAAACCAAGATTTAGGTCTTATAAAATTTAACTTGACACAGCAGCTGATGTAACCATGATTCCAGTAGGAGTTGTCGGTGATTTTATTAAGACTCTGCCTCTAGGAAAGTGCAAATCCCCTGTGTTTAGCGCAAAGAAGAAAGAACGAATTTTGGGAACTTTAAGGCTAAAGCTTGAACATAAGGGTGTATCAGTTTATGATCTTGCGTATATTTCTGAGGAGATCACTGTTCCACTTCTTAGCAAACGTTCCTGTGAAGAACTGAACCTGGTGAGGAGAATTTTTTCTGTAGATTCACCTGAAATTGACTGGGCTACTAAGTGTCCTAATTTATTTCAAGGGTTGAGAAATATGAAAGGAGAGTACAAGATTGAAATGAAGGAGAATGCAGTTTCTTACGCTATATCCACCCCCAGGGTTGTACCAATACCTTTAAAAACCAAGGTAAAAGAGCAGTTAGACGATATGCTTGAGAAAGGAGTGATTGTTCCAGTTGAACACGCGACTGATTGGTGCGCACCAATGGTAGTTTGCACAAAAAAGGGAGGTGGGGTTAGGATCTGCGTAGACCTATCCAAACTCAACAACAGTGTGAAACGTCGGTTTTATCCTATTCCAAAGATTGAACTTTCATTGGCCGAGATTGCGGGAGCCAAGTACTTCAGCAAGATCAATGCGAATTCCGGGTTCTGGCAACTGAACCTTGCAGAGGAGTCACAAGATTACACGACATTTATCACCCCTTTCGGAAGGTATAAATTCCGTAAGTTACCTTTTGGAATTACGTCCGCTCCTGAAGAGTTTCAGCGCCGCATGTCAAAAGCTTTAGAAGGGGCAAAGAACTGTTTAGTGCACATTGACGACTGTCTGATATGGGGAAGAACGAAAGAAGAACACGGCGAGTGTCTTAGGGCTGTTCTAGAGAGAGTGCAAGCTAATGGAATCACCTTGAATAAGCAGAAGTCGGAGTTCTGCAAGAAGACTGTGACATTTTTGGGGTTTGTGCTGTCTAAGGACGGAATCAAGCCTGATCCAAGCAATGTACAAGCGATTGTGGACTTACCAGCTCCAAGAAACGCTAATAAAGTACAAAGATTCATGGGCATGATCACTTTTCTGGCAAAATTTATTCCAAACTGCAGTGAGATTTTGGAGCCAATTACGAGCTTGTTAAAGACAAAAAACTATTTCTTTTGGGGACCAGCTCAAGAAAAAGCTTTTGTCACAGTAAAACAGATTTTATCATCAGAGCCATGTTTGACTGTTTACGATTCCGTAAAAACCCTCGATTCTTTCTTGTGATGCTTCAAAAAAAGGTCTTGGAGCGGTTGTACTTCAAGTTGAAGGAGAAAACAAGAAACCTGTGGCATATATATCTTGGACTCTAACGCCTGCTGAAGAAAACTACAGTAACATTGAGAGAGAAGCGCTTACGTGCTCATGGGCAAGTGACCGTTTGAAATGTTTCCTAATGGGTAAAATGTACACAATTGAGACCGACCACAAACCGCTTGTCTCAATTTTCAAAACACAAAATTTGGACGAGCTCTCACCGAGGCTACAGCGATTCCGAATGCGTATGATGAGATACGATTATCGCATGACCTGGACCCCAGGAAAAGACCTTGCCATAGCAGATCTACTATCAAGAAGTCCTATTCCGGCTAATGAAGATGGCGAATTGATCGAAGAAGTGGAAGCCTTCGTCCACGAAATCAGTCTGATTAGTATAAACACTACAGATGAAAATGTGACAAAGGTACTTCACTCACAAAGATCCAGACCTTCTCACGAGTGAAACTTCTGATCATTCGCCAGATAAACCCACGGACTCTCGCTTCCTCTTTTTTAATTGTTTGTTGGAGATCAATGTGCCTTCTGTAGTCTTACTTTCTTTTACAAGCATTTCAAGGTCGTGATGTTGTTATTGTTTTAATATCTCATAAAAGTATTTGTTATACTGTATCTCAAAAACCAATAAAATAAGTTAATCTGAGTTTTTAAGTACAAGAATAGACCAACAAATGGCTTCAGTTACTGAGTCAAACATACAATTGGGAGTTGTTGCAGTCTTTAGCCTCTGAGGAGATGCAGATGTTCATCCTCTGGGCAGCAGAAGTAAGGATATTGATGATGTCATCCGAGGCAAGCTTCTCCAGCACAAACACTCGACAGCGGCTCAGCAAAGCAGAGTTGAGGCTGAAGGACGGATTTTCTGTTGTGGCTCCTATCAGGACGATGCAGCCATTCTCAATGTGAGGCAAGAAAATGTCCTAAAAAATATGTTAAAAAACTTATTCAAATTAAAAATGCTTGTGGGGAAGAGAGGGCTCAGAGATTGTCGTAAGGCCATGAAAATATCAGAATTTGTCAAGAGGCCTATGAGCTGCACCAGGTTCCAGTTCTATGGGGAGGAGCGGGAGATAATCGGTTCCTTATAGTGCCCTGGGACTTTTAAACAATATGGTTGTTGACAGGATATCAATGACAAGATTTCTTACCGAAGTTAAGAAGATCTGAACTCATGTGTATGGACTATAGAGAATATGCCTGGAAGTTATGAGTCAGTGTTCCCATCAGGATAGGTAGGCCTACAGATGTTTCTCTCTCTCTGCCTCTCCCCCCCCCCCTCCCCTCGCTCCCTTAACTCCTAACAACATCTACTTATATATAATTCAGTTTTAAAAATCTTTGTAAAACTAAATCTAGAGTTCTACTGGACCGATTTTATTGATTAATGGGTCGTTGGAAAGCTTAATTCGTGTAGATTGGCAAATAATTATGAAAGTTGGGTTTTATTATAATTTATGGTGAAAAATTAAAAAAACATGTTTTCCATAAGACATACATTGAAAACGGTGTTTTCACACTTTTTATTTGGGTGTGACTTTAGGCAGTAGCGGCTAGCCCATAAGGACTCTCGGACGCCGCCCTCCCAACAATACAGAAATCAATATTTTTTTATTTATGTAATAAAAAAATCATCTGCCGTAAGTAAAATTAAATTAAAATTACTTATGAGTACTTTAATCAGTATGATAATAATATGAAATGAAATAGTTTTAAATTTTGAATCCAGTAATGACTGTTTTGCGATAGTCGCTTTCATAATGTGGATTGCGGACGGCGGCCACCTCCGTCCCAAACTCAATGCATGTAGTCTTATGGTGGAAACACCTAACAGCCTTGAGGGTGCCGTGACGTCATTCCAATGCTTTATAATAGGGACTCTGGGGCAGAGTCCAAAGCTGCGCGCTCATTCATAAATCAGGGCAGCCACCCTAAACTGGATAATTCTGCATCACACACGATTAGGATAGGAAGAACTATGTTGGCAGCGCTGGAGCCATCATCCACACAACCATAAACATAAACTAACCTCACTTCATTCCATGTCCATGACCACAGTTCAGTTAAAGTGTAGTGCCAAACGACCTGTTGTTTTGTGATAAATAGTGTTTAGTGATAGTGATGGAGGCCTAAGGAAGGCAGCGGTAGTTTGTTGAAGATTGAAAGAGCTAAGTAGAAAATATTAATAGTTATATTTAATAAGTTATTTAATAAGGTATACTTGATTGAGTTAACTTAGTTAGTTGGCATTTTTGATTCAATAACTTAAGTTACGTCTGTAGTTTTAGCCTAGGCTAACCTAATTAACCCGAAAACTAAGTAAACTAACCATAGGTAAAGTGACTCGGACAATTCTAGTTATAGTCACTTATTCTTAGTCTTAATATTACGGGTAAATTTGCCGTGGGTTGTAGGCCTAAATAATAATGGACGGCGGCATTTCGTTGTCGTCGACGGCTAATGTCACTAACAAAGTTAGCCTGATTGTCAATGAAGGAATCAAAAATATTGACCACAGAATTTCTTTGAAAAAATTAGGACCTCCTAGACCTTTCATGAACATCAACCAGATTCAAAACAGTTCAAAGAATAAGAATAGCTTCACACGAAAATTTTCGCCACATATGTACAATCATGCAGATTGGTTATGTGGTTGTTCAATTAAAAATTCATTTTTCTTCTACACTTGTTTGGTCATGGGGGTTCAAGATCGTGTATGGACTGTAGACGGCATTTCAGACCTTAAAGGCGGTTTCACACTGGCGTCCGCGGACGAAGAAATCGTCCGCGGACGGATGCTAAAATAAATCGTTGCCCATGTTATCAGATGGGACCGTTCACACCGCGCATTGATACGTAGCGTCCATCCGCGGGCGCACAAATTCATCCGTGGACGAACTGGCGGAATCGCTCCGGGGGCGATTTTTCTAAAACGTCCGCGGATGTCCACGCTCTCGCGCATGCGCACTGAGCACCAATTCACGTTTAGCGCAGCGCGGCATCTGTCCCTCACCTCAGTGTTAATTGTATACATTCATATATATACTCAGTTGTATTCATATATTTAACTTTACTTAACTTAAAACTATTGTACTGTGCTACTACTACTTGTTGCCTACTTTTCATATTTTTCAGTAATTATAATCTTTGTTAAAGGGTATATTTTTTTTACTTAAATAATATCTATTTCATTATCAAACAATTTTTTGTAATAAGTTTAGGGGTGGGCGAGTAGTGATTTTTCAATTCGAGTCGAGTCGAGTCGAGTATTTGAGTAAAAACTCGAGTATCGAGTCGAGTCGAGTAGTTGCGCGTTAAGTAGGCCAAGGCCCAGGGTTTATGCTGCGGTAGTATTTTTAGCATCTTGCTATTTACAACTTAAAAATGCAAAGTTTACATTGTTTTACAGGCTAGGCCTGTGGCAAATTTTCTACAAATAAAATTGAAAGATGTAATGTTCAAACAAATGTAATATTAGCCTACTGGAATTTTTTGTTTTAAATGCTTAAGTTATTGAATAATATTTTTTCTACAGTTAGGCCTAACTTAGTTTTTGTCTTTGCAGAGAGTTTGCAGCATTTTGCTGAAAAAAATTTCATCCTAGCCTAAACCCTGCCTAGGCCTAAATAGGTAGTTTAAGTATTTATACCAAATTTTCTAAGTTACCGGTATATGGTTACTTTACTAATTATTAGTACCTCCTACCTTAGGCCTAATAAAAAATTTGGCCTAGACTACTTGATGGCTGCAGCATTAAATTATTTAGGCCTACACATCACTTGTTATTGTGTGTTTTATTTTTTCTTGCCTTTAATTCCTCCTCACTAACATGATAATCAACCTAACTAACTAACTTAATAAGGTACCTAACTTTAAGAATAATTTCAATTCAAATAAGAAACAGAATTTATAAAAGTAAATTTATTTATTTAACAGAAAACTTATATCAAACTACATATTGTAACACAAGTTAAAAACATCAATGAGGTATTTTAAAATAGGTAATCACTTGGATAAGCACTTCATCTGTCTGAAGTTTGAAGGTTATGGGTACTAGGGCTATCCTCTTCACTCAGTACATTTATAAAAATGATCAAGTCACTCGTCTCTGACAGACTGAAAATATCAAATAAAAACATAGTAGGCCTATTATCTCGAAATAAAATCCCACATTAAACACTTAATTTAAAATTAAAACACATTTCACTATAGCCTATCTGGCCTTTCTTTTTAAACTCACATTTTCTAGGTTAAGTTACAATTCAAACTGTAGTTGTCATGTTTCTACCACCAGATTGAAAATTGCACAATCAAAATCACAAACAGAATATGTTTATTTTACTTTCTATTAAACTTCCACTAACAAAATCAATTTGATTTTTTTAAGTTACAAATTCACTTCAAAGTAAAAACATTCAAAACTGACGTTGACATAACTTCACTCCAATCCATTGTTTTGTTTTGTTCTTGTTGTTGCTATGCGTCACCATCTTTATCTCTCTCTCTCTCTCTCTAGTCGGTCTGCTCCTGCTGTCTGCTTCTGCTTTGTTTTCCCATCAAACAGCTGTTTTGCAGGGCTGACGTTGCCATATTTATCATTACACCATTATGGTGAATGTCGGCAAAATTATCATAAAATTGTTATAGCTTTTATTTCGTAAAAAAAGTTAATAGTTTGACTAATTTAAATCATGTTTATGTAAACTCATTAGAAAATTATACTTATAGTTTGTGTACGCCAATACCACAGTTGTAAAAGTACAAAAATTATCGTCCATCTGGCAACACTGAGTTTAAAGTGGAACTGATCTTTTCTTTCTGCCATTTGCCTAGACCCAATGAGATTGCGTCATTCAGATGCATCGATGTTCCTTGCAGTAACTTATCGGTTTGTAAAACTAAACACCAATACCGATTAATTTGAAAAAAATATTATGCTACAATAGGTTGTTTTTATTTGTTGTATTTCTATATTTTGGTATAAAATATGTTGTTATTTCTATATTTTGGTATAAAACATTTTTATGGCAGTTCGAACTAAATCTGATACTGTACTTTATAATATCTTCAAGAATCGTCTGCCATTGTTAGGCCTACTAGTCACGAGACTCCCTTGTTGACTATCGACTATTGCAATTCGATAGATTCATTCAATGCTTTATTTCAACTTACTGTATCGTTATCGAGACGTATTGTTGACTGTTGTAGGAAAGTGAAAGTCTGTTGTTAGTAGTAGTAGTCCTCTTGCTAGCTCTGCCGAATGACGATGGGTGTTTGTTGAACATTTGGTTTACGCTGGTCTAACCTATATGAGGTTAGATAGTTGTTTTTTGTAGGAATGGGGATTAAATAAGGCATCAACACAAAACAAAATATAATTTATTAAATATGGATGTAGAAAATCGTGAATTGGCACTATTTATAACTACTCGACTCGAAATTTTCGAGTAGTAATTACTACTCGACTCGAGGTCGAGTATTTGAAAAAACTCGAGTAATTACTCGAAGGTCGAGTACTCGCCCACCCCTATAAGTTTTACTCTCATGGTTTTTCCAACAATTATGTTGTTTCAAAATATCGTTGTATGATTTTCAACGACCTATCAATTAATTGATTCCACAGCTAAAACTATTAGTATTGATGTATAGTATTATATATACGAAAAATCGCGCCCACCTTTAAGCAAATGAGAAAATGTGAGATCTCATTTCCATATTACCATTGCTCAGTACATTTATTTAATAATCCCAAATAATAGATAAAAAAATCATCAATAAAAAAACCGCTCATTGGAATTCTACAGTTCGTCTCGGTTTTCTTTATTTCACCATCAATCATTTTCAACACCTCTTCAAACTGATTGGCTGTTAATCTAAAGTATGTTGAGAATCTGTCTTCATCTTGCTCCAGATCGTTCATTAG